CAGCCGCGGGCGCCCGGCCTCTCCCGCCCCGCGGACTTCGCGCTGTGCCCGCGCGCGCTCTCTGGGAGCGGCTTCCCGGGCGGCGGTCCGCCCGCAGAATGCACCCCGCCGCGGGCGCCCCGCCGAGGCCCGGGAAAGGAGCAGGAACTTGGCGAGTCGCTTCTCGCCCCGGGCACTCCCAGCGCCTAGCACGCAGCTAGCGCTCAATAAATATTTGTGGAATGAATGAGCCGTGGACAACCGCGTGCGCCCCCACAGCTTTCGCAGACGCCGGCGAGGCGGAAGCTGCGCTCAGGGCAGGCAGGATCTCTTGGGGCCGAACGCTTGTCTGCTGGGAAACAGAACTGGAGCGAGGGAGACTGCGCTTCAGAGGGATCAGGTCATTTCCTGGGAACCTCATTGGGGCAATGAGGTGCAAAGACCTAATTTGGAAGTTCCATAACCTAATACACCGGGGTGCCTCCCCAGCTGAAGTTATCCAGACTTTTACGCAGTGGGTCAAGGTCGGCCCCCAAGACCTCCCTTGTCCTACGTGCCTGCGGACAGGAGCGCACCCGAGCAGAAGAGGCCCGCCACATCCACGTCTGTTCTCCCTCTATCGATGAGGATCCTGAAGCAGGGACTGTGCTTTGGAAGGGGTTTAGGCTGCAGGGGGCGCCCTCTCTGGAATGCCTTTCCTTGCTTGGGGGAGTTGGGTGTGCCTTGGCACCTCACCCCGAAGTCAAGCCACAGAGTAGATGGCCAGCCTGAAGCACACTTCCTGCAAGCATTTCATTCTCCTTGAGGCCTGTGGAGGTTTTCGAGCCTGTATGAAACATGAAAGGAAGATTAAACCCGTGTAGTATGGGGCCGGGAGGAATAAGCTCTTCCCTGGCAAGCGCAAGGGCCTCAGCTCAATTTCCGGTTCCACAAAAAGATAGTAAAGTTTGGAGAATTTAGTGCCCTGAGCAGTGGTGATTTGTGAAGAGGGGCCCCAAGTTTTGGGTGTTTCATTGCCCAGGTTCAGTCATTTCTTCTCCCTTCTTTCCACAGATGCTAAGTACCTCCTAGGTGTCAGACGCAGCAACAGAGAAAGTAAAACTCCTACTTCCATGTAGCTCACCCTGGATGAGCTGAGCACAGGCCTTAAGAGACCTCCCTAGTTCTCCAAAGTGGAGGACAGCGAGTGGAGTGTTACTGTTTCATACAGAAGATCTGGGACAGCATCTGTCAGCTGGGTTTGACAAAGGTTCCAGGCCAGTGAGGGACCCAGAGTAAGAATAAGGCTAAGTAAGAGGCCAGAGCAGACTGCATCAGGGGGCTCCAGTAGCCAGAGGAAAAAGGACGTGTGACCGCACAAGGCTTTCCTTCACACGGTGCAATTATGAGAGAAGATTGGAGAGATTTAAGCATTAAGTGTATTCTTCAACGGGGGATTGAAGCCAGGGCCTTGCACACTGACCTATATCCTCAGACAATTTTATTTTTTATTTTGAGACTGGGTCTTGCTATCTGACTGAATTGCTGATGCTGGGCTCACACCTTGCCAGCAGCCTCCTGCCTCAGCCTTCCGGTGTGCTGCATTTGAGGTGTACACACGATGTCTTTACACCTTCACACTCTTCTCAGCAACTGCTTCAGGGCACCCTTAGGATCGTTTTGCCTGGATCATTGCGCCATCCTGCTGTGGAGTAGAAGCTTCTAGAAGTAACTTTCTTCATCCGTGCTGAAAGATACCAGATGATCTCTGTTATCCAACCATAGTCTTTTTTCTTTAATGTAATACATATCCGACTGTTAATACTCTCATCCAGTTACACTTAATTTCTCCTAAGCCAATTTCAACGGCCTCACCCCCTCCTTTACCGTAGGCTCTTTGCAAAACTTAAGGTTTGGATTTGGGCACTGGAGATTTCAAGTCTGACAGTAATTGCTTTAAGAGAGTTGGAGGAAAGTGGAAAATTTTAATTACAGCTTTCAGTCTGTTTATTCTTTTCCCTCTGAAGACTGAAGTCTACCCACTTTGCTCTATCAGATGGTTGAATCCAGTTTGAAAGTTCATTTAAATCGTAAAAGCACAGCTATTCAAAGTCTTCTTTTTAAATGAGGCTTAAAATTAGAGAGTCCACCAGATGGGTAGGTGGAATGGTAGCATGCTTCCCAAAATATTCTTTTCCTTTTCCCCTGGTATCTTTTGAGAAGAAGCATTAAGTGTATTCTACAACCTAGAGCTATACACATGCTGAAGCCACACAAAGTACAGACACTCTTCTGTGAGCACTCCCAGGACTGGCCTGCAGGAGCCTGGGAGAAAGGCATGAACACAAATGGATTCGGAGGCTTTTTTGACCTGAATACTCTGGGTGTCCCTTACCATGCCAAAGACTGGATGGACAGGATTGTTAAACTGCTCACTAGAGCCACACTTGCCTCAGGCATTGAAAGGTTTAGTTTGCAAAATCTGGCCAACTTGATTTCACTAGAGTTTATGGCTTCTGCTGAAGAGTTCCTCCCACCCCTAGGTAGAGAAAGATTGTTCTTTAAGCCTACATATGAGGGAAAGGCTGCTAGAACTAGAGAAGGTAACAATAAGGATAAATCTATTGTGATTGGTTCTAGGCAGTATTTTGTAGGTTTCTGAGGGCAAATGCTTTGGAGCAGAGTGGACCCAAGTACATCTGTAGCAATTGGTACCCAGAATGAAGTGGTCCAGTACATTGGAATTGGGTGGTTGGTCAGGAGCTGGTGGGGTAGGGGAAAGGAGCCCATCTTTCCAGCTGCAGTTTTTCTGATGAAAGAGGGGGCAGTGTCAGAGTTCTATTGCTTTTCTCCTTCTTGTCCCCATGATGGGAAGGTTGACACTTGGTCATCACATTCACCCTTTTCACAAAACAGCAAAACACTCTTGGTTTTATTTCTAGAATATAACTCACTGCAAACGTCTAAGTTAACTGAGACCACTGTGACAGACTGGATGCCAAGTTGAGCAATGACTAGTCATTAGTGTATTGAAAACTAGATCCATACTCAACTGAGGTGAAATAGCAGCTACCTGATTTTAAAAAGAAATTTTATTTTTAAGTATCGTGAAAGATTCTTACATATGTTTAAAAAACTCAACTCCTGTTCTGGGTTTGGTGCATGTCTGTAATCCTAGCAATTTAGGAAGCTGCAGCAAAAGGATAGAAAAGTTGAGGCCAGCCTGAAAACTTAGTGACTTAGTGAGACCATATCACACAAAAAGTAATTCCCAGGGGCTGAAGTTGTAGCTTAATCTGAAGGCCCTGGGTTCAATTCTCAGGACGGCAAAAGCAAACAAAAACCTATGTTCATACTGTTTCGAACAAGAGGTGAAGCACCAACATGCAAAAATGATGATGTAAATTTAAGCGAAAACAACCTACATGTGCCACCACGTAATTATAACTATAGAAAAATCATATAGTTAAATAGAAAATTACCATACAAAAACATGGGAAAAAGGAAAACCTTAACCTTCAGAATACAGTCAATTAAAGAACACACTTGTTTGCTGAAGTCTCTGGGTGTGAAGTAAGAAAAGGAAGTTATTTGCCTAAACTTGACCTTTCTTTGTGAAAAGAGTGAAGTTTCATCCAGTAGTTCCTCGGTCACAGCGACACTGGGACTGTGTTGTACATGTGGCCGTCAGATTCAGCAGATTTTTTTTCCTATCACTTTGTGGTTAAGAAAACAAACACCTGTTCTAGACTTTTTATTTAATGTCTGAACAAGTTCATTGTTCCCAGTCACCAGCCGTAGAGTAAGAACAGTAACTAATGTCTATGGGATCCTATGTGCCTGGCTTATTTACTCACTCTGCAGCCTAATGAAAGATTCCTTGGTGTCCCCACCTTGCAAATGAGGAAATTGTGGTTTAGAAGAATTAAGAAAGTCTCTGCATAGTTACTTAATAGTAGAAATAAATAGCCTGGCTCCAGGGCCCAGAATGAATACCAGTAGTCAGTGGATGTTTATTGAAAAGCATTGTATATGCTTTGGAGATCCATGGACTTTATTACGCTTAACCTCTCAACTCTGCAGTTGTAGCAGAAAAGCAGCTGCAGACAAGATATGAATGAATGAGTGTGGCTGTGTTCCAATAAAACTTTATTTGTAGGCATAAAATTCAAATTGCACGTAATTTTCATATGCATGAAACATTACTAGTCTCTGGATTTTCTTTCCTGATAGTTTTGAAATACAATAGACATTGATAGCTTTGTGGCTGCATGCAAACAAATGATAGGCTAGATTTGGCCCCAAGGTTGTAGTTTTCAAACTCTTAATCCCTGACTGTCAAGCTCTTTAAATATATGCAAAGGTTGAGGGTTTCTGGGAGAAGGAACAGGGTGATAACATAGGCTCACCAGTGATGAAACCTTCCCACTGGTATTCTGTTTGCATAAGGGCTCGGAAAAAGCCTTTGAAAGAGGGGTCATCAGGAGAGAAAAATCCCAAACAATAAAGGTTTCCTAAGAAATTAAAGGGTAGAGCTGGGCATGGCGGCACACAACTCTAATCCTAGATCCTTGAGAGACTGAGGCAGGAGGATCACAGTTGGAGACTAACTTGGGTAACTCAGTAAGGCCTTGTCTCAAAATAATACAAAGAGGACTGAGGACTTAGCAGGGCTAGACTCAATCTCCCATACCAGGAGAAGAAAAAAATAATCATAAAGAGGGGCACATTTGATAGCAGTGAAAATCTGCTTTGGAGAGGTTTTTTTTGTTTTGTTTTTGTTTTTTTGTGGAACTGGGGATTGAACTCAGGCCCTTGTGCTTGCCAGGCAAGTGCTTATTCTACTGAGCTATCTCCCCAGTCCCTGGAGAGTTGTCTAGAAGCCCCACCACCTCTTTGAACTCTAAT